AGGTAATCCAACACAGTTACTGAACTGTTGAACAATGTGTCGCTCTATTTAGTCGAATAGATAAGCCTACAGGTTCACACTGGATTACTGGTGTTGACTATTTCTGACATGCATACTCAGTGATTCCGTTGTGGCCTTCAGACATGTTTTGGCAGCTCACACCTCCTCAGGGAGATATGTTGAACTTATGCATACATGGTGTTATGTTCTGTGCATGTATACCATGTTGTTACTACACTAGGAACGATGATGCCCAGCTCGCTGTCGGCGCATGCAATGTCTTGCCATATCTGGAATGTGAGCTTGCAAGTCAAGCTGTGGCTGGGGCCTGGCCAGGGAGTTGGCGCCCAGCTAGCCGGATCTCGGCTTAGCTTGCTCCGGCTTGGTGATCCAGCGCGATCCAGCTCGTCAGCTTAGCTTAGCTTAGCTGGCTTGGCGGCAACACTAGTACTGGCCAAGCCGTATGCGGAACCAACCCAGATGAACTTGTCGCCACCCTCTAGATCGTCAACTATGGTGGGAAGAGCAGTAGGGATTGCGCTCATATCAAGAGCACTAAGAAACAGCGCGACTAGCATGGAGGCGAAGGCTAGCCAGAACGCCGATCCTTTGCGAGGCTTCGTGTCCTGGTGTCCTGACTCGGAGTCGCTGACCAAGTGGCGAGTAAGTGTGATTTCAGACATGGCGTAGAGGAGACGACGGCTTATGACCCACCTGGTCCTCGTTCGTTCCGAATATATGGGCGAGTGCATGTCACATTGCTGCGTCTTCCGAGAATTGAAAGGCCACTACTTGTTTGGTAGGCATTGCGGTAACCCTTGCTGTACTATCTCTCCCATCGGCAGCTAGCCGCACTTCAGACAATAATGAAGTGATGCCATCGAAGTAGTTAGCTCTGCTGTGCTTGGTAGATGTCTGTTGCGCAGAGCAGTGTAGCGCATACGTACGCCTACAGATGCGAGCGGCCGTAACGATGTCGTCATAGATAGCGAGCAATCAGATGTGGGGGACACATAAGTCTTGGATCCCCTCGTCTCTGCGTCGACAAATCGCTTGCCCAACGAAGACCAATGGATAAAGGCCAGTGAGCCCAGCCGAACGGCAGAAAGTATTACTGATTGGATGGGTAGACCTCTGCCACCCGGACTTTGTGACCGTCACCGACCTCGCTCGTTTGAAGAGGACGCCCGGACCATGTCTTGGCGCCATCATGGTGGGTTCAGATTCGAGAGCAAGATGGATTGCGCGGCGAGACATACGGGACCCGCGGTGATGCTGCCCATACGGTTCTCTATACGGGTAGTTTCATCGTGCGTTCTAGGGCTGATCTTGCTGTTGATAGCTCTACCTGCGATTCAGTTGGCATACCCACGAGAGAAGGTAACGTTGAGGCTCACTCATGCTCTGTTTCAACTTGAGGATCAGCCGCGCGTAGATCAGCCCTCGTCAACCGCCGTCTGTATACCAACCATCCTGTGTCTTGCAGAACGCCACGATCGCACTGAGTGGGAAGCAGGACTCGAAAGCAAGAGAATGTGCCATAGCAGTATCAACAATTACCCATGCATACATACTATAAACTGGGAGAAAGCTGTCCAAGATCGAATCCGTCGGAGCCGGTTCCGTCGTTGTGCTTTCACGTAGCCGCAGACGGTTTCCAAGCGGCATGCCACTGCGTCATGTACTGGAGCGCCTGCTTCTGTACAGCCGCTATACGGGGGCTGATGGCAGATCCGCGCGACATGTCTGAACAGTGAAACCCGTCACTCAGTAAGTGGGGCTGGAGATCGGTGGAGTTGCGCGTCGCAAGTGCCGCCGCGACAGTTGCCTCGCGCCAGGGGTCGCCTAGATCCACGCGTTAGCCATTGGCGACACAGTTAATGAACATGAGCCTGCTTACGTTCTCCATTCGCGAAGATGAGACGCTCTGTGGTCGTATCCCACCCGCCGTAAGTCTTGTCGACAGTCAGCGCGTTCAGAAGGCTGACTTTCTTGAGGCCCCAGAAGGCACCAGGGAACTCATACTGACATAAACGCTACGGATAGTGCTCGATATCAGTACATCTGCGGTGAAGACTGACACGAAAACACGACGACACACTTCGTTGTGAGCCGCCGTCAGGTAGCTGGACACGATGCGAGGGGTCCCTTCGGGGGCACCAACCTGCCAGAAACCGAACTGATTGCAACTGCAGAACAGATGCTCGTTCAGTTCGCAGAGCCTTGAGCCTCATGCCAGAAGGAGTGTCACCGTACATCATCCAATTCCACGAGCGGTTGCTGTTGGGCAGAGACGCATTAGTCCAGTGAGGAGAATCCGGGTTGTGCGATCCAATGCATGATCTGGAGCGGCCTATTTGAGATGAGCAAAGCGGGGTAATGGGTGGTTGTGCTCACTCAGCATCAAGTTTACCACATCCTACGAAGGAAGTGTCAGCGACTGCATGTGGCTCACTCGACCCGACACGTACTGGATGGATACAAAGTCTCGTTCCAATACTTTCCCCAGGCCTGTAAGGCGGCTTCTAATCCCCAGCCCGAGGCGGGTGCATGCCAGCCATTCGGCCCAACCTCGAGGGCGTCACAAAACTCGTAGAAGCTGTTGGACCTTGAAGTCATTGAATTGCTCTGCCAATCTTCGAAAACGGCCTTCACTACGGGCAGTGACACAGCATCATGACTCCAGCTTAGCAGGATACGACGAGATGTAAACGTACAAGCAGCTGCGAAGTCATCAAGATGAATGACGTCCTGAAGACCGAAGTTTGCCTTGATGTCTGCGATGTCACGAGTGTTGCCTGAATCCAATACCGAATCGACGTATTGAATCACCGCCTGAACGTCTGCTGAGCAATTGGCTGGCATCCATTCCCGTACAGGCTCGAAGTACTTGCAGAAATGCCTGAGCCTGAATCAGTTTCAAAGATTCTCCAATCTACTTACTTCACTCACCCGATGGCTTGGACGACGGCAGAAGATGCATAACCTGCATAGAACAGCTCCGGATGCCTACCATAAGAAAGGCGACTCAATCAGCCATGCGACCTCCATGGAGCGGCTTGAGTGCTCAAACCTACGTGTGCATGGTATAGCTCACGAGAGCTCCTGAGTAACTCCCTCCTACTAAAATCCAAGGCGCCTTTCCAGGTGCGAGCTTATCACCATCCGGCTGCGGCAGCTTGACGGTTTTCGCGAAATAGGCGAGGTCCTCGATTGCCTGCTCAATAGTGTGTACTTGAAGGCTCTGTACGGAAAGGTCGGGATGGGGATTTGAATCGCCGAAGAACCGGTGCTCGATGACGATCGTGGAACCTTTGGTGGCTTGTGCGATCATACCAGATATTGTGCCATTGGTGAGGTATCCAGTGAATCCTACGCAGCAAAGGCCTCAGGTTCGTGCGTACGTATGGAGATCGAAGCGAATGCTACTGACCCTTTGCGGACTCTTCCCCCGGGGTCATCAGGACTATAGGACCGCCTGTGCCAATGATGGTGAGGACGTCTTATCGGAAAATGCTACGATCGCACGTACCCGGTTCGTAGAACTCGTAATTGTGCCAATAACGTTGCTTGAATGTGCCCTTAGTTGGGTCCGTATGGTCCACGAGCTGGTCGAAGTAGTAAGTCTCGCCATACGAAGAAATCTGTTGGCCGCTAGTAAAGTGGTAGACAGGCTGGCTCTCATCAGGTTCATCGATGTGAGGAATACGAGGCCGGGAGTTGTGTGGATTGAACAAAGGCGAACGAGCAGCCACCGAAGAAAGAATGAAGAAAGCGAAAATTAACGAAGTACAAGTCATGTTTGCGGTTTAGAGAGGCAAGAACAGGGAACGAAAAAAGGCAACGGATATCGGAAGCATCATGCTGCTACTGACCTTTATACATACAATGTCATCCTCAAAACGCCAAGTACAATGCACAGTCGCACCCCTCTACGCTTCGCACGGATACAGCCATCATGATATGGAAAGGCGGGATTGGCAATTACAGCGCGCTGTTCCGGCACAAGAAAATATCCGCTGAAGGTCCCATTCGCAAGGCGATGCGATACAATGAGTGTCTGGTGTACAACTCGACAGGAAATCGCCACCCATACCATTACGTTTCCACCGGCTGTTCCGTGACAACGAATTCCTGAGACAACCCGTCGATCAGGGAGTTCGAACAGGCACGTTCGAAATTTGATCTCGCAGACATAGACAAGCTAATGAGCGCTAGCGGACGGCTCGCCGGTGACACAGCATGGTCAGAGATCTGACAGATGAAAAATTCATATACTTCGAATAGCCCCTTGGGCGGCGAATACATGGGCAGGAGGGGAGGTATCGGTCGCTACGTGGCGGGCAAAGCTTCCGTACGCGTCAACGCATACCAGACGACTTGATGTCGATTGTAAAGCCGGTAGATGCTATGGACACCCATCACACCCAAGTACGTAGATACTTCCTGTATGTGCGACTACGGAAGGAAGGGCATTCTAGATTAGCACACGTCAACAATGAACAGTAGCAACTAGTGAGAACACCTTGCATGAAAGCAACGCTTGCGCCATTTGCTGATTGCAAAATCATCAAACCACGGCTATTTGACGGTGCTCTTCCTTCCAAAGTTGGGAATGCGCCGCTGGTATTAGAAACGACGTTTGAGCGGTGCTGCGGTGACTCATCGCGCATGAACAGCTTTCGATCTCGACCATCCCTTCATGGCAAGTACTCGCGTGTTGAGCTGTCGGACAACTCGATACCGTAAAACACTTACCATACGAAGCAGATTATTTCCCTCGCTTCCGACTGCCATTGCGACTTCTAGCTCTGTCGCTAGCTTCCCGGCTCCCAGAGAGAAAACCTCCGCGCTTGAGAGCCTCCTTGGCTACAGTGGAGATACACCGCCAACGATCGGAGCCAAGCTTGACGCCGCCGTACCACCGGAATACCACGAGGACCACGTCTTCGCAATTGCTGAGCTCAAGCAGACGCTCAAGACGCTCTCCTGCGCCCGCCTCGCCGCCGTTAGACGACCCTAAGACAAGGCTGCTGGATATGAGGGATGATGAGCGCAGTCTCCACGCATACATGGCGTGCGACGCGCGACGAGTACGTGGGTCGACCTCCTGGATGTGGGCGAGAAGTTGTGGCATCGCTGTGATTTTCATGAGCCGCGAGAAGGTGGCGGGGGCATCTGCTTCGGCCTGGTATCTGGTCGCATATGCCTGGAACGTCGATTTCTGCTGGACGAGCTGGTCGGATATCGCTAGCGGCCCGTGCCAAGTCGCAGTCGAGTGCCATCGCATCGACATGTATCCCGACCGGCGCACACTGCACGCCTTCATTAATGTCGAAAGCAGATATGCCATGGGTGTCCTCAGAGGGCGCATATAGAGTGATGTAGAACTCGCCGCCGATGGGGAGAACAGCGAAGAGACTTCGCAGTGGACAACGAGCACCGGCCACGAAGACGACGCGCGCGTCAACGCGACCGTCACAGCGCGTCCGTGACGACACCGAGCTTCTTTTGCCGCCGCACGGCGCGTCTGGGCCCCAAAACCAACTTGGCCTTCAACCACCCTCTTCGTCGCGTTTCTCCTCTCTCTCGTTGTCTTGCTTTCGTTCCTTCTCACGTTCTCCGACATCTAATTTCTAATCCTCATCAATATGCCACGTCTCCAAGTTACTCGCCGAACATCGCTTTTGTCTACGAACCTGCGGACCACATTTCTCGAAGGTAATGCCATGCTTTGGACTCCAACCCCTGCCACAATTGATATGTATATGCGTAAACTAGCTTTCGGACGCAATGTTTCCGCGCGTAGTACCAACGCGGAAGCCAGAGGTGTCTCTGACCCAATCGACCTTCATGCGGTCGCCCGCCGCATTCAAGCAGAGATTCATCATGCGTCTGGTCGTTACTGTCCCCTCCACCAGGTGATCTCGTCCATTCATGACCTCAAGCGCGATGATCTAGGTAAGTGTCTCCACGAGTATCCGGTTGGTGCTATCAGCCCAGTTGTTGGGATGTCCTCGCATATATCTTCTTTAACTCTGAAACTGCTCGCCGGTATCCATGCGAAACTTACTCCCACGTCTTGCTTCAGGCACCATTTCAAGCTATGTGAGCTCTACAACATCTTCCACTCCTGACTCCGTCCGCATCGTTATAACGACCACCACAAACACGCCCGATATGGCTGCTGTTAATTCCTCCATGTCGCGCCGTCGCACTGCACGCAATCTCCCCGCACTACATTGCCAGCTGCCCTTGCCGCCTGCAGGATTGCCCTGGCCCTCTACTACAGCTGCGAGTCCTTCTCCCAGCTTGACTCCCACGTGCCTTATTCCCCCGATAATTTCTTCACTCTCACCCTCGTCCGGGAGCGAGGGCAGCTACCCTATCACACCTATTGATCAGATTGTTCATACACCCCTTACCCCGCCGAAGTTGCCACGCCTGGTCCCCCCTCCACCTCGCACCTGGGCACGGCTGAACGCGCAAGCGCGGAAGGGCGAGTCGTCCCCGCTCGGGACCCCCACACTTCCCCTTTCTCCGTACCTGCTTGGGCCGATGGGTACTGCCAAGCCTACCCTCGACCGTCTCCATATTCCCGACGCACCCACGGGGGAAGTCAGGTTTCTCACTGCGCAGCCGACCCCTTCGCCACAAGCTCTCTCGCCTTTCGACCTCGGCATCAAGGGCTACTTCCCTGCAGGCTTCTCCTCGACGTTTGAGGGCAATATAAGGCTCACCCCTGTGCGTACAACGTCGTCGTCGGAGCTGGCGCGTACTGCGCTTCTTCGCTCAACCTGCCCCTCCGGGGCTCGCAGATTCTCTAACAATCTCGGTGTCGCGACGGATCGCGTCGGCTCGCCTTCGGCCCCGCTTGCCGGCGCCGCTTTGAGCTCCCCGCTCAACGGGCAGCCCCTTGCGTCCCCTTTCATAATACGTTCGGAGGCGGTTGACGGGGAGTATTTCCGCACCTAACTTATCCGCTTCGCTTGAGTCACCCTCTGCACGCATACGTTTGTTCTCGTTATCGCTTTCGCTGTACCATCTCCGCTGTTACCTGCACTCATTCACTTTCTCCCGTCGCATATCGTGTAACCTCGCCTCGTCGTTGTCGAAACGTATCGCTGTTTTGATAGTCCCTTTCCTGTACACGCTGTATTGTACGAGTTTGTAGACATAATGTCCTGCCGTGTATTCCGTCGTCTGCGACGAACTTTTCTGTATGCCTTGATTGTTCGTTTCCATATGTTCTCTAAATGTCTCCTCCATGCAGATTCTGGACACCCTCATCCATGTTTACTTAACGTATTTTCTTGCTCGGTATAAGCGATTCCGTGACTTTATACTATGTCGTCTATGCCAGCATTCATCCCCAGTGAGAATCGACATGGGCTTAGCTGTATTAGGTCAATTAGTACTGTATCTAGTAGGGAACCCCGACCGTAATCCCAATTCTACTGATTTCCCTACTTTGGCTGTATGCGGTTGGATAAGGTGGTATGGTCGCACAATGCTATACAACCATACGTCGGGTCAGCTAGTATGTTATCGGTTGCGGCTGGTTGCACTTGGGTTGCGCTGGGGTCTGGTCGGGCAGGGATGGTTGTCGTCGATACACGTCATAGGATATGAATGATTACTACTGTATAAACTGGTATGCGGTCGTATGGCTACACGGTACGATACAGCTACAATCAGAAACCGGCGAATGGAGGCGGAGCAGACTGGAAACAGTTGAATGTGGTGGGATACCAACGAGAGCTGCCTCTCATGCCACTAGCATGTGTGTCATGCGGTCGTAGAGCTGCCCGGATGCAAGCCATAGAGACAGATGTGAGGCCGACGCTTCTGACGTTCGACTTCAACGCGGCCAGTTGCGATACTTGGGAAGACCTGAAGGTGACCTCATCAGTAGGGCTCGGCACTGGGGCTCAATAGCGGTGCTCCTCACGTACCGTCTACGAGGGAGCAA